CGTATAAAATAGCCTGGTCATCTGTAGAAAAAGGTTTTCCTTGACAGGTGAAGTGGGTGGGTGGGGGGTGTATATTACAACAACAGAAGATATTTGCCATCTAAAAACAAAGAGGCGAGTCCAGACAATTCCGTGGGCTTGTTTGTAGAATTAGACAAGGATCGCCTGGAAAGGAAAGTGCTCCAAAGTATACACCGGACACGGCGAGATTCCTTGTAATTCTATCTGCCTGTTTTCAATGTTTTGAGCCGAAGTGATGTTCATTCCTGCTGTATTTACCCGTGCTTCTCCAGGGGAGCCTTCTCGGAGGTACTGCTTGCCGAGGACCGAGAGACTCACGCCATGGTCGCGGTGAAATGCATCGACAAGAAAGCCCTGAAGGGCAAGGAAGAAACCCTAGAGAATGAGATACAAATTTTGAGAAGGTAGGACAGACCAACTACAATTGCTGTCTACTGTTGCAGAATGGAATGTGTTCTCCCCCTAATAAGTGACACAGTAATAATCTGCTATGTCCTTTGCCTTATCTACAAATTTCTGATCCTCCCCCCACACTAATCACAATCAGATGTTGGGGTGAAAGATCAGGGCAACAGCCACCCAAATGTATGATTGCGGACCACCCCACCTCAATTAATTACGTGGCACACAATGGCCATGACCTGTCTTCTTTCCAAATATATGCGGTATTCTGAAGCAAACAAGTGGTGGGGGTAAGAATTGCACTGAACCCATTGCAGAATCTGACACCTGTAAGAGTGAAGTAAGTAACCGTGCTACCTGTTTGACTTTTGACCACCTGTTGTTTTCTCTCCAGCACCTATATTCAAATTCATTGCATAAAATTATTATTACAGACAAAAAGATAAATTTTTTTGTTTCTATTTCATTTGAGGGCCGTTTGTTTTACTTCTTGATGTCATAATCTGCAGATGAATTTGCATAATGAAAATACACATCAGCTTTTTTTTTGCTCCTATTGTTGAGAAGATATGATTTCTATTGCCATTTTCAATTAGCTATAGAATACAAAACCATATTTGTCGGGAGCAGGCAGAAAAGGAAGGCACATGTCATGGTTGTATTCCTGCATGTTGAGTGAACTGTTATTGAAGCAGATGCAGGGAAAGATTTCCCTAGATTGCTGCCACTCTCTGGAGACCAGGTGACTAAATAATGCAAGACAAATGGGTGAACCCAACTCCACAAGCATCTATCAGCAACCGTTATCTCTCCAATCAGGAGGAAGTGCCTCCTAACAATTAACTGCCACCTTCCATTGCTTCCAGTAAATACATTTCTTTTTTTCCAGGGTGAAGCATCCAAACATTGTCCATTTGCACGAGATTATCGACAGCAAGTCGCATCTTTACTTGGTAATGGAGCTGTAAGTATTGTGTTTCCTTGCTCCTTTCTGTGGTAGGTCTAGGTGTGTGGCTGACCTTTGACCATTATGTGGCCTTTGACCCCTGGATACACCTGGTGATGAAAGGTGTCAAACATTGCATCAAAACCAGGTCAATGATTTTATCTAGCTGGGTGGTTGATAGCCACTAGCCTAGTCCTACAGTTCTAGCTTTGGTTATCTCTACTGTTATTTCTTATTTCCACACAGTTATTTTACATCATCAAGTTAGAATCTTCTGGCAGGGGAAAAAAACAAGCAATATGGTCCCTAACAAGGCATAGCCAAAGTCCAGGCCTCTAATTGTCCCACATTTTACGGCACAATTATTATCTACTTACTGGAGCACAATTACAGTTTCATGAAGCGTGATGCCACGTGTCAAATTGTAAATTAGGAAAGTCAGTGTTTTACAAAGTAGTGAGTGTGCAGTCACTGTAGGAAGTGTTAATTACATGTGGTGCCCCAAGCTGTTTACATACAAACATAATTCTTTACACAGATGGACAGGTGAGGTCAGCCATATTTCAGATGGTATTATTGCCTGATGTGATCCAGGGGTGTATTTATAGTATTCTATAGATTTCTTGTAAAAAGTATTTCATGAATTGAATATAGTTAAGCCCATGATTAGACGTCATTTCTGTTATCATATGAAATGTATGCTATAAAACCATTAAAGCAGAAAGCAATCGCCAATTTTTCTCATGCAATCAGTAGGCACTGTATTACTGTATTACTATTGTATTACTGTTCAAATGTTCAGCAAATAACCTTCGGCAAGCTTCAAGTAACTGAAAACCTCTGAAATTGGCATTGACTTACAAATTCTCTTTTTTTTGTCATGAATTCTACTCATATTGTGTTATTCAGACAGTTGGAGTATTGTTTCTGTCTCACTTTGTAAGATTACCTGGCTTATGGGTTAAGTAGAGATTTAGAGTTGGCAGGCTGAGGTAACAGGGAGGTATCAATTTCTATTCCTACCTGGGGACCCGTCTGGCCATGACCTCTCTCCAGTAATTTACCAGGTAATGCTACACCATTAGACTTGACAATCCTTATTACTAACACATAAGCCAGAACCAAACCGTTGGTATTCTGGGAGTCTCATCGCGCCTAAAGCTTTGGAATATTCTCGGGACTCAGACTTCTGTTACCATGGATGAGTACATCCTGATCAGTTGAAAGCATTTAGTGATTAATGGTTTTCTGTGGAGGCACACGCTTTTCCCAGCTGGTTCAGTGGATTCTATTTCCGAATCTGGAACACTGTAAATTCTGAAAATGTTGCAGAGTTCAGTCTGTGGTTTTCACAGTGACACGTCACACTGGAAACTAATTTACCGGTATGGTACTAGTGCATTGCCTCAGGCAAATGTAACTTCTAATCCACTGAGAAGATTAATGTGTTACAACTGTGGTCCTATAGAGCTCTATGTAGAATGGCTGACATTTACACAGTACTTTAAGCTAAACCTACTGAACCCAATACAATCCAGTAAAAAGTCTCCTATGTACGTTCTCAGAACCAGAATGTTTACCTTTATAAGCACCAGGATTTTTGAGGAATTATGTCAAGCATTTCCAGACTTCTATCCTACTGCCAGCTATAACAAAATGGCCTTAACTGACAGGCCTGTAAGCTAAATGTTTAAGAAAGTGTAAGAAACTATGCGTTGAATAGTCAAGGGAAGTGACTTACACATGATGTAAATGTTTTGTCTAGGTTTATTAGTAACCGTGACAACATGCTAGTCTAGTAAAGGTTCATGTGAATGTACTACTCTTAACACTGTACATGTTGCAGTGGGGACAGACTAATTTGGTGTTTTCTACTGATCTTAAATGTAATACATTAAATATGAACAGGGATATATTAATAGTGCATGATTAGGTCCACAAATAGAATGTAGAAAATGAAACATGTTGCTATACATAGAATGCTTCAGAAAGTACTGATTTACCCAAAGAGGTAGTCTGGATCTTTAACCGCCTTGATCTACCCGAGTAATCAAGTTACTGTAGGTGAACCTAACTTTAAGAAAGCCATGCATGTATGTATGCTTACCGTACAAGTCATGTATGTTAGATACGCCCCTCTGGGCTATCACTCTATCAGTGATTGAATATTCAGCACTGTCTGTACTTATCTGATCAGTAACTTCCGTGTGTAGGAACAATTAATACACTACAATTTATTACTGTCCAATGATCCAGACTTCTGTGGCAGGCAGCAGTAATAAACTAATTGAAATGCAGACACACAAACTAGTTTTTCTGTACGTTGTCGTACAGAATGTTCATAGATAATGTCAATGTATCTGACATTTTCCTTTAATTGAAATACATTAGACATCACTGTCATAGAAGCCAGTCTGTTTTACTTCCACTTTTATACATGTAGAATCTTGACATTCAATAGACCGAAGACAGCAGGATTTGTCCCTGACTCAATAATGAAGTTACAAAACTGGTTAAGTCTTGCAGGTAGAGCACTGCTAATTGTTTGACAGTCATGGGTGACTGCACACCAATTCAATGGCATGTTGCCAAATGGATGTCTAGCATAGCAGCAAAATATTTGTAAATTTCAGGGTGATCGTACATTTTAGTTGCAGAGACAGCAAAGTATAAGGTTATCAGACAGGGTATAGGTGGAAATTAGGATATCTTTTGATAAATTTACATGACTGGACCGTTGGGCTTATTGAAGATCACTGACATTACTGCCATTACAATGTCAACTCCAGTATTGGTTTGTAAAACTAAAAGCTGTGAGCTCTTTAATTTTATCTACTGAGTATTACATTTAAGGTACTAAGTATCCTTCTCATTGTATTGTAACCAATAGAAATGAATATATAAGATGTAAATTGGGATGAAAATAGGTACTGTTTATTTTTTGTAGCAAGAATATTTGTTGTGAAAACAAGAAGTATAGGAAGTCCTAACATTTATGATTGTAGTTGTGATCTTAATGTACATATACAGTCTTGACTTTCTTACATACTTGTAACTATAAACAATACTGATAAGAATTTCGGCCAGTTTACCCACAGTGCAGTGTTAGAAGCTGGCCGAAAAACAGCCCTAACAGGTGGTGTGTTGACACAAATTATAATGCCAATCATTCCATAGTGCACAGCACAGCTTCTGGGTCAAAGTTCAACCTTGTTAGTGTGGTGAAGGACGATTCCAGCAGGGATGCTGCAAGTCCTAATGAATGAGCCTTGTGAGAAAATCTATAAATTATAGATGTCTCTGCCTTAACCAAATGCGTATTGGTTACAGAATTGGTTGGTAGAGGTAAAATTTAGATGTTACATTTAGATTTAGATGATTTCACATTCATAGAATTTTTATCTCAAAACTTAAAACTGGCATAAACAAATCTTCCTATAGAAGGTAAATTGCATGTCAGCTCTCAAACACACTAAGAGAATTATAGAGACTCTTAAATTCAAACTTACCAGAAGTTACACTTGTAGAGAGTGGCAGTTAAGTGTGTGTGAAAGACAGGAAGGCAAATGTTGACTTATGTTAACAGGTTTTTGGATGCCACACTTTTGACCTGCAGAGAGACAAACATACGTGTCGAAAATCTGTTCCTTAAAACAGGCCTGTATCCCTATTCCATTCACACACTGAAAGCAGTCTAACCCCCATGTATGCTTAAATGTAAAGGTTGCATACTTGTGTTTGTAGAAACAATTTAAACAGTATTTTCCCAGCAAATGTTTGAACAGTCTCACTCAGCGTAGAAGCTTTTTGTGTAGATTGTAGGTAGAGCCTAAAACGCTGTATGTTTCTTGAGTGTGACAAACACTTCAGTAGCAAGGTTCAGGGTAAATCATACATAAAAGGGGGCCCACATGCCCTTTTCCATAGAGCATAATCGGCTGTTTTGATTCCATGTAGACCGTAAACAGACCACTCTAATTCAACGTAGAGCGTAATTGTCACATTTTGCTTAGAGCGTAATTCACCATCATAATTCTGAATTCAGGGTAATACATAGCCGGCCCTCTAGCAACTATCTTTGGAAGTACAGGGGCATTTTAGTAGCAGACTTTGATATGGGATAAGTCAGAAAGGAATGAATGAATTCTCATATTACCTGTGCGGTAACTTTGATGAAGACCAAATAATTGTAATAGCTTAGTACCGTATAATATACTAAGCCTTTGTTCTACCAGCATACCCCATATAATCTCCCCCTGGTCCTCTTTTCTTGCTCCCTCATAATGCTAATTTACCACCTGGGACCATCGTGGGCAGCCTGAGACTGTTTGAAAGGAGCAGAACTTCTCAGTGGTATCAGGCACAAAGGTTTTAGGGTTCCATGAAGAGATTACCTGCCACACATGAAAGCTGAGCAGCCATCACGAAGGGCAGAAACTTGAAACAGGTTGAACACGAAGATAGGGCAAAACATTATTGCAACAGTGTTCTAAGAAATGGTATGACGCATGGACATGAATAGTAAAATGCACAACACTATCAATTTTCTTATTTATAGATTTAGAAAGCCACCTAGGGGTTCCTGTATCACATTTTTTTCACAAGGAAGGTTAAGGAAGGTCATAGTCGGTGATTTTTTTTTCTTTTAAATTTGAGCATATACGTGAAAGAGTCTAGATGTGTGATGATTACATTATATACTTCATTGCTGTGTATTCTTTTTAGTTGATAAACCATCAGGGACCATTGTCATGTTTCATACTGTCTGTCTTTTTTGCAGATGCTATGTTAAAAAGAAGGTTGAGTTGAAGAAAGGGCATACATGGTGTCGTTAAACACACATTTGAGCTTTGCAGGGATGCAAGATTTATGAGGTCTTCAGTGTTTGTTTTCTAATTAAGACTTAAGTGGGATGATGGAACCTGATCCAGGCAATTAAATGAATCACAGGAGATGATAGAAGCAATGAGTGTACATGTGCATCTGTTTGAAATTATTGCACGAAAAATGCATTATCT